CCCTGTCCTGCTTACAAATGATGCTTGTCACTGCTCCCTAAATGATGGCCTGTGACAAGCACTTGGGGACCTTGCTTCCAATCGCTCATGCATTCATCCAGGCATCGAATATGTGCCAGGCACTGTGCCAGGTGTTGGGCCCACAGGGTGCCCAAGATGTAGGCTCCTGGACCTCACGGAGCTCACAGTCTGGTCAGAGCTGCCAGGAGGAAGATAAGACAGGGGATGTGACCATCCAGGGGGAAGGATGGTCAGGGAGGACCTCTCTCAGGAGGTGACTGATGAGCTGAGATTGGAAGGAGGTGGAAGAGGCAGAATGTGACTGTCTGGGGGAAGAGCTGAAGGAACAGCAAGTGCAAAGGCCCTGGGGCAGGAAGGAGCTTGGTGTGTTGGAGGACCAGATGGAAGGCCCAGGTAGTTGTACCCTGGAGGGCGAGGGGAGGGAGTAGAAGATGAAGCTGGATTGAGGAGGGCCTTGAAGGCCAAGGTTAGGAACTTGGGTTTTATTCTGGATGTGATAAGAAGTAGCTACAAGAGGGTTTTAAGCCAGGGAGTGACACAGTCTGATTTATGTCTCTAAAGATTGCACATTGAATGTCGCCCCTACCAAGGCAGGAAAATTATCCCCTTTTTTTGTGGGGGGCAGGGCTGTGCCATGTGGTTTGTGGGATCTTAGTTCCCCAAACAGGGATTGAACCTGGGCCCTCAGCAGTGAAAAGACGGAGCCCTCACCACCGGACCGCCAAGGAATTCCCAGAATCATCCCCATTTTAGAGGTGAGGAAGCAGAGGCTCCGAGAATCTGGGTCTCTTGCCCAAGATCTCACAGAAGGGACATCTCACAGCCAAGATCCCAACCTGCGCTGCCCTTGGGAGGGGTGTAAATTAAAAGTGCTCACAAACACCGGCTCAGAACACTTGGTTCAAATCCCAGCTCTGCCGCTTCCTAGCTACGTCCTGGGCAAGCCTCTTACCCTCTCTGGGCCTCGGTTTCCTCATCAGTAGAAGGGGATGCTGGGAATTCCCTGGTGGTCCAGTGGTTAGGACTTGGTGTTTTCACTGCCGGGGTCCAGGTTCCCTCCCGGGTCGGGGAACTAAGATCCCTCAAGCCTTGCGGCACAACCGAAAAACAAAACAACAAAAAAGAAGGGGATGCTGATAATAGTACCTCCCTCATGGGGTCATCGTGGGGATTAAACGAGAGAATACAGGTGGGGCAGGAAAGAGGTGTCTGGCACACAGTGAGTGCCCGGCAGGCGTTGTGGTACCTGTCGCCCACTCTCCAACATCACTGCACCTGTAGCCACAAGGTCCACCATCCTCACCCTTCTCTTCTGCCCTGTCCCCTCCCGCCTCGTCCTGCCCTCTGCTCCCACGCCCCGGCCTCCCCGCAGATCCTCTGGACCTTCTCCATCTACCTGGAGTCTGTGGCCATCCTGCCGCAGCTGTTCATGGTGAGCAAGACGGGCGAGGCGGAGACCATCACCAGCCACTACTTGTTTGCGCTGGGGGTCTACCGCACGCTCTATCTCTTCAACTGGATCTGGCGCTACCACTTCGAAGGCTTCTTCGACCTCATCGCCATCGTGGCAGGCCTGGTCCAGACGGTCCTCTACTGTGATTTCTTCTACCTCTACATCACCAAAGGTAGCCAGCGTGGGGGGCCGGCCGGTAGGGAGCCTGCTCCTTCCCCAGCTCCCCCCCTCCCTGGGGCCCCAGCTTCATCTCCCCAGCCCTGTATCCCTCGAGGGGAGACAGGACAAAGAGAGGGGCAGGCAGGGGTGGCCTCTGACTTTTCCTCTCTTGGAATGTGTCCTAAGCCCTCCTCCTGCCCCAAGGTTCCATATCCAAAGTCTTTCAGTCTCACACCCGTAACAGATCCAGGCCCCAGCAGCGTTCAGAGAAGGGAGGGCCTCCTCTCTGCTCATGGACCTCTGTCCTTACCCTCAGGGACTCAGGCCCACCAAGATTCATTCATTCATTCAACCAACAAATTTATGGAGCACTGTCTATGTCCCTGGCCGGGGCTAGGCTCTGGGGATACGAGCTTAGGAGAAAAGATGGACAAGGCCCTCCCCTCCCTTTGTATTGTAGTCGGGGGAGGTGGTGAGTAAACAAGAGAGATGATTGCTGACAGTGAGAAGGGCAGCGACAGAAAGGAACCAGGGATGTGCTGGTGAACAATGGTGGAGGGTGAGGGGGTTACTTTACGTGGAGAGGGTGTGGTCGGGGGGAGGCCTTTTAGAGACGATGATTAAAGCAAAGACCTTGGAAGTTCAGTTGGTCAGTGTGAAGGGAAGAGGAGACAGGAGGACAGAGGCCTGAAGGCAGCCACGCCCCCTGAGGATTAAGGCTGGGAGGGCAGAAGCGGGTGGTCTCGCCCAGCCAGCCCTGCCATTTTTTAATGATACGGCGACCACCGAGAGCCAAGGCCTCCAGCCCTTCCAGGATGGAAGGGGAGCAGCCAGCATTAGGGGAAATAGGGCCTCCTCCGGGGCTCCATGGCTCAGCCCCTAGGCCGGGAGCCTGGTCCCCGGCCCCACCCACAGCTGATAATCCGAGTCCTGGGGCTGCCCCTCCTGCATCTCTGCCCAGCCCAGCATCCAAGCCCCTGCTGTGGGCGTGGGAGGCTGTCCCCTCCACGAGGGACCCCTTGGTCACGCCCACCCCCCTTTCTCTCCCCCCAGTCCTCAAGGGGAAGAAGCTGAGTTTGCCGGCGTAGCCCTGGTCCTCGCCATCCCTCTCCGGGGCAGCTGCGAGAGGCAGAGGAAGGCGACGAAAGACGAAGAGCCTTCCCATCCAGGGGAACTTTTTTAAGAACCCACCTCTCGGTACTCCCCAGCCCTGCTCCTGCCAGGTTTCAGGGGGCAGTGGAGGACCCAAGTCTTGGGGCAGCTCAGGACCTGGGCTGTTTGTAGTTTTTTTGCCTTTTAGAGAAAAAAAAAAAAAATCTTTCCACTATTTAGGTTTTGATTCTGATGACTCCTTTCTTTTCTACTCTCTGGCCCCAATTTTTATAAACTGTTTTCGAGTGTCCTGTGGGGCACGGCAGGGTTGGAGATCTTTTCCCTCCCCCGAGCCCCCTGGCTTCCTTCTGGATCCTAACCCATCAGCCCCACTGGTTGCCAAACACTCAATCTGCCCACAGCCGCCTGCCAGACCCCCCACCGTTGTCAAGGACACAACCTCCCATCCCCCCCCCAAACTTCTGCATTGGGGAGAGGGAAGAGGGGAGGGAAGTTCTCCCCTGATTTTTCATAATAATTTTTTCCAGAGTTTGGGTTTTTTGGTCACGTCCTTGTTTTTTGGCAATTTAGGGGCGCATGGGAAGGGGGTTGGCCCAAGGGTCACCGTGGCTCTATGGCCATGTTTTTGTACAGAATTGATGGTTGATTCTTTGTTCTCTTGAAATAAACTGAGGAAAACGATGCCTCTCTTTGGCTACTCCTTGCCCGCTCTCTGGCGTTTGTGGGGTCCGCCCGGCACCCTGGCCCCTCTCTCTGCCTCTGCTTTATCCCGTCTGCCATCCGCAGGCGATCCAGGCCTGAGAGGAGCAGGGAGATGAGAAACTGGGCTTCCTGAGACTCTGAGCTGCACCCTGACTCCTCATGACTCCACCAGGGAAGAGGTTGTGGAGGAAAAAGATCTCGAAGATTCTTCTTATCTTGGCACAGAACTTCCCTGACAGTTCTCCCTAGAGAGCCTTTAAAAACCAGATTTTCACATTAAAATCGGGATTTCTGGCTTCTCTTGAAAAGAACCCCATGAGTCTGACAATGCCAGGTCCTCGTGTCTGGGTGGGAGCAGATGGCTGGAGTGAATGGCTGGGACGTGAACTTCCCTCCCTCCATCACCAAGTCCCCAGGACTTGGCTGAGGGCTTGATACCATCTCTTACTGGGCTGACGCTGTTGTTCTGTGGTTTTGTGAAGTTCAAAGGAAAGTCAAATCTTTTCCATGTTTCCCTCCAGATTGGCTTCACACCTGGCCTGTTTCCTTCACTTGGTTTACTTGCTTGGCCCTTGTAACCTTTTGGAGTTTTGCACCCTGATTTCGCCAAATGCCCTAGATGTCTGCTGAGACTTTCCTTAGCCGCCTCCAGTTCTGCCATAGGATGGCTCTGGAAGCTTCAGGAGGCAGGTAGCTGGCGTTTCCGAGCGTCTCATAAGCGCCAGGCAATGTGCGTTACACGGGTGAGCTCGTGGGACCCTCAGAGCACCCTCACTTTGTTGCGGAGGAAGTCGAGGCTTAGCCGGGTGAGCCACAGGGGTGGGGTTGGTACCCTGGCTTTCTGCTGCTGGATCCTGTATGTTTAGCCACTGCTGTGGGGTTTTTCAAAGGTTTTTTTTCTTTCTTTCTTGTAAGCTAAGCCAACGGACCTTCTGTTTAGAGGAATTTGTCCAGAAGCCTCATATGGAAAATGCAGGAGCAGGGCTGCCTGGGTTGATTTCAGGGTCGGGAGGGGGCACCTCTTTGAACGCAGCCCTCAAACCATCAATATAAATCTGGTCCAAGTCTCTAGTTTGACAGCCAGCCCCGCTCAGGACCAGAGAGATTCAGTGACACGTTCCAGGTGATCCAGCTAGTGACAGAGCGAGGACCAGAGCTCTGGGTCCTCCCGTTTGCCATGCCGGAACCCTGCCCACTCCACCACATGGCTGCCGTTTCCTCCAGTGCCCACAGGGACCACGGCCTACTTCTTTCTGCATCCTGAGCACTGCCACACAGGAAACCCAAAAAGGGGACCACGGAGCCCACATTTGCCTCCCCACAACTCACACTGCTTTTCCCAGTTTGTAAATGAACGCTCTGCAGCCACTGTGGCCCCTGTGTGGGTGTGTTTGGTTTGGCCAGCCTAACATTAAGCTTTTTTTTTTTTGTATTCCTTGCCAACTAATTCCACATAAAAAGAAACGGATGTCCGGTTGTTCTAGAAAAACTAGAAGGTTCTAGAGCGGCACTATCCAATACAGTGACCATTAGCACTTGAGATGTGCTGTTCTTGTAAAACAGGCGAAGGATTTCAAAAACTTAGTGCAGTAGGATGTAAGCTACCTGGCTAGTAATTTTTTATACTGATGACATGTTGAAATGATCATATTTTGGATATACTGGGTTAAATAAAATATATGAAAATTCATTTCACTTGTTTCATTCTACTTTTCTTCACGTGGCCAGCTGGTAATTTTAAATGCTGCCCCCCCATGGCTCACACTTTGTTTCCATTGGACAGCGCTGCTCTATAATTTTTTTTTTTTTTGGCTGCATCGTGGCATGTGGGATCTTAGTTCCCCAACCAGGGATCGAACCTGTGCCCCCTGCAGTGGAAGCGTGGAGTCCTAACCGCCAGACCACTAGGAAAGTCCTGGACAGCGCTGCTCTGGACACCCCCGGGCTGTGGTACTGAACGCTGGGTGCTGAGTGAAGGCTGCCCCTTCCCAGGCTCGGCCCCTGCCCCCCCCCACTTGCTTCATGGGTACTTCACCCACTGGAGTGACCTGCTGGGTCCCTGCAGGCAGGAGCGTTTTGTGGCCCAAGCACGAGTCTCCGATTAGTTTCGGGGCTCCCTAAGACAAGCTTTCAAATATTTGAAGACAAGGATCTCCCCTGACCTCAGTCATGGACTTGCCATCCCCTGTTCCTTTAACCACTCCTCCCACCGCATGGGTCTGAGTGGGTCCCTTGTCAGCTGGGGTGAGTTAAAGGATGTGGGCCCTGGAGACAGGGCCGGTCCCAGTGTTGGCCCTCGTTCTCCTTAGAGCCCTCTCCACGGGCGGAAGCATCTTGTCTCTGAACTTGAGCTTCCTCAGCTGTACAGTGGGGCACCTCGTGCCTCCCTCCCGTGGCCAGTGCAAGGAGTAAAGGGCTCGCTGTGTCACAGGCCTGAAAAAAGGGTTTCCCTCCCGTCGCCGCCCCTAGCTATCAAGGTGGTGCCCAGAGGGAGAGTCCAGGAGGTGGATTGGAAGTGGGACCCGCTACAGAAACCCCTGAGGAGACCCCATAGGATTTTCCCCCTCCCCATGGCACTCGAGGGACCGGAGAGAAACAGATATGAGAAGGACAGAGGGCAGTTTTCAGAAACCCTTCTGGAGGGAGGAGTCTCTCTTTACTGGTGTGGATGAGGCTGTCTAGGTGTCGGGCATCATAGTGAGGCGGGGGGCCTTCGGAGTGGTCAGATGGGGGGACAGGGCGGAGCTGGTGTAGCTCAGGCTGTGGGGACCGGTGGTGGGCGTGTTGACGGGGCTGGTGGCGGACAGCGGGGAGAGAGAGGTCACCACCACGCCGCCGTCGTCCAGGGAGCGCTTGTAGGGGACTGGAGCATCATTTCGGAGGTCCTGGAGGGCCAGGTAGGCCTGGAGTATCTGTGGGCAGAGGAGGGCGAGCTGGAGGCTGGCTTGGGTGGGGTCGGCCCAGGTGGGACCTGTGCCACAGCTCACTGGATGATGCCCACACTGGGCTGAGTCTGCTGGGAGGAAGGGGCGCCTTCTTCCCTCTTTGCCCAAAGTCACAAAAGGGGCTTGCGGAGGTCCTGGGGAGCTGGGTGGAAGGTTCTAGCCCTCTTAACTCACACCACCCCGCCCTGCAGGGAGGAGGCTCCTCACCCAGACGAGGATGGAGAAGAAAGCGAAGGTGATGGCGGCCTTGACACTGCTGCTCCCCAGGAGGAACTGTCTGGGCGGCGAATGCTGCCACTGGTTGGCCAGGAAGCAGAATCCCACGAACCAAATGCCTGCCCAGAGGGCTGGGGGGTCGAGGGAGAGAAGAGGGGCGGGGTGGGGTGGGAGGGGCGTGAGTTGGGGAGAGAGCGCTCAGGAAGGGTGGCTGGGGCCTCGGGTCTTGCCGTGGCCTCTCCCTCCCAGCCGGCCGCAAAACAACCCCTGGAGTGGGGTGTGCCGTCCACTACGGGGCTCGCCAGCCACTTGCAGCTTTTTATGTTTCACTCGATCAAAAATTCCAATCGATTAAAATAGAATTTTAAAAAATTCCACCCCTTGGTGGCACTGGCCACACTTCAAGTGCTCGGCGGCCACACGTGGCCCGTGGCTCCCGTGCTGGGGAGTCCAGGCACAGAACATTCCTGTCCTCACAGAACCTTCTCTTGGACAGCGCTGGACTCGGTGACCTTTAGGGGCCCTCCCAGCCCTAAGTTGCTGGAACTGGGCAGGTGCAGAAAAGGAGAGGAAGGAGCCTGGGGCCTGAGGAAAAGGAACGAGCGTTTATTTGGCGCTTACTGTGTGCCGGGCTCTATCTAGGGTGCTCGGCATTGGTGAGGAGGCCAGGCCTGGCTTGGAAGCCTGGGTCTGCCACTCGGCAGCCATTACACAACCTCCTCAAGCCTCAGTTTCCTCCTCTGTGAAATAGGAATCTGAACAGGACTTCCCTCCTTGGGTGGTTCTGAGGAAGAAACGAGAGAGCCACGGGGAGCTCTTGAAGCGGTGCCTGACACAGGGGATATGCCTGGTAAATATCAACATCACTGCAGGAGTCCTTTCTCGAGCTTCATCCTCAGAAAAACCCTGAAGGTGGGAGTTTTCATCCCAGCTTCTACAGAAGCTCAGAGGGGAGAAAACCCACACACTGAGGAGGCACCAGAGGTGAGATTTCAAACCTGGGTCTGTCTGACTCTGCGCTCTGCACCCAACCGCTGGCCACTGCCACTGGTGGCTTTTCAACAAAGGTTGTGAAGAAGGGAGGTGAATGCGAGGAAAAAGCTGGGCAGGAGAGAGGCTTCTAGAATTAGTCTGGGGGTCAGAAGAGATGACCCTTACCCTGAGTCTAAGGGATGGGCAATGATTCCCCGGGAGGAAACAGCGGGCGCAGAAGAGCTTTGAGAAGTGAGGGGCAAAGCTTTGGGTCACGTGTGGAGGACGGTCGGGGCCGGCTGGGTGGTCAAGGGCAGTGCCCGGGGGGCTCACCGGCTAGGATGAAGTCCAGGAGCTGGAAGGCCGTCTTGAAGCGGCTGGTGGTGGTGCGGCCCTCATGGGCGTCCAGGGCGAGGAAGGCCAGGCAGCTGAGGAAGGCCAGGAGGCCAGCTCCCACAGCGAAGCTGCAGCCCGCGTTGTTGCTGTTGAGGACGCAATGGAGCTGCGAAGAGTTGGTCTTGTTCTGGTAGCCGTCAGTCAGCACGGAGGAGAAGACGATGAGGGAGAAGACCTGTGGGTGCGGGATGGGGGTCCCCAGGGGCCGGAGCAGAGCTCAGCGTCTCCCCAGACCGGCTCATCCTCCCGGGCGGGTCCCCATCACTGGGCGTGGGGGCCCTGCCGTACACCCTCCCGGTGGTTCTGACCCCTCCCTCCCGGTCACATCCTCAGAGCTTCCCAGAGCCATCCTCCCGCTGCCCCTCGGCCCCTCTCCTCCATCCCAGCTCAGGCCTCATCCTCCCCACTGGGCCCTTGCCCCAGCCTCTTCCCCGGCCTCCCTGCCTCCAAGTCTCCCCACACGGCCCCCCAGGGGCTCTTTCCACACCCTGCCCCTCCCAGCTCCCAGCCCCGCACTCCCATGGCTCCCCAGCACCCCCAGGACAGAGTCCCAGCCCCTCATCTCCCCCCCACTCACCCCTGCCTCGCTCACGCTCACCTTCTGCCCCCAAACCCAAGTACCAATATGAAATGCACCGTGCCCGGGATTCGGGAAGAGAGGGCAGTAAGTATCTCTGCCTTCAAGTCTTTCCCTCTGGCAGCCACTTCTTCCTCCTCTCTCCCAGCTCCATTAATTCCTCTCCATTTTAAAAAAGGAATTTGTGAAATATTCCAAACGTACAGAGAGAAGTGTAATAAACACTCAGTACCTAATGAACATTCACCTTTTGCTTCAAGGCTTTTTTTTTTTTTTTTTAATATATTTTGTTTTGGCCACGCCACACAGCTTGTGGGATCTCAGTTCCCCAACCAGGGATCAAACCTGGGCCACGGCAGTGAAAGAGCTGAATTCTAACCACTAGACCACCAGGGAACTCCCAAGGCTTTTTTTTTTTTTTAAAGCAAATACAGCCTGGGACTTCCTTGGCAGTCCAGTGGTGACTCCGCACTTCCACTGCAGGGGGCACGGGTTTGATCCCTGGTTGGGGAACTAGGATCCCACATGCCACACGGCGCAGCCCAAAAAAAAAAAAAAAAAAACAAAAGCGGGGCGTCCCCGGGGGCACAGTGGTTAAGAATCCGCCTGCCAATGCAGGGGACACGGGTTCGAGCCCTGGTCCGGGAAGATCCCACATGCCATGGAGCAACTAAGCCTGTGCGCCACAACTACTGAGCCCGTGTGCCACAACTACTGACTGAAGCCTGTGCGCCTAGAGCCCAGGCTCCGCAACAAGAGAAGATGTTGCAATGAGAAGCCTGCGACTGCAATGAAGAGTAGCCCCTGCTCTCCACAACTAGAGAAACTAGGTCTTCGCACACAGCAACGAAGACCCAACACAGCCAAAAATAAATAAATAAAATTAAAAAAAAAAAAGCAAATGCAGCCTCACAATATGCTAGCCCTGTCACCTTTGTCTGTGCACACACTGCACATAGCACACGGGGGTACCACTGTCCACCTAACCCTGTTCATTTATGAAACCACCGATGTACTCCACAAGCACTAGCCTGTGTCATCCTTACAACCACCCTAGGATGTGGGCACTATTAACACCCTCGTTTTCTTAGATAATGGAGCTGAGGCACAGAGAGGGTGAAGAGCGGCCCAAAGTCAGTCAGCTAGTGACAGGCAGTGCCTGGATTTGAACCCAAGTTGTCTGGCTCCTGAGTCTGCTTTAACCCCTGCTGTATATGCTGCCACCGGCTGGACCAGAAGCCCCGAGGGCAGAGGTTCCCGTCAATGAGATTCAGTGACGATCTGAAGCCCCAGCGATTTGTCCCAGATGGTCACAATGCAGCGTGGCAGGGGCCACACCAGATATGGAAGGAACTGGTGTGTGTATGTGATGGGGGTGGGAGCCGGTCCAGGAGGGCTTTCTGGATGCGGTGAGGCCTGTAAGGAATGCTGCAGGGTGAGAAAGGCTATGGAGTGGGATCTTGTCTGGGGGTCAGTAGGGAGCCATGGAATGGCTGAGAGCAGGGGAGGGGCAGGGTCAGCTCCGGGTGCATGAAGAGCCCTGTGGGGCCATGCAGAGGTGGACTGGAATGAGTGAGACTGGAGGCTGGGAGTCTGGGGAGGAGGCTGGGGCCTACGCTCAGGGAGAGAGTCAAGGTTTGAGCAGGAACTGAAGTCAGGGGGCCGGATTTAGGAAGAAGTAAGGTGAGACCTGAACTGCACCTTAAAGAATGGGGAGTTTTGGGGAGTGATAAATTGGGAGTTTGGGATTGGCATATACACACTACTATATATAAAATAGATAATAAGGACCTATTGTATAGCACAGGGAACTCTACTCAATAGACTGTAATGGCCTATATGGGAAAAGAATCTAAAAAAGAGTGGATATATGTACAGGTATAACTGATTCATTTTGCTGTACACCTGAAACTAAGACAACATCAACTATAATCAATTATACTCCAATAAAACTTAAAAAAAAAAAAGAATGAGGAGTTTTGCAGGCAGACAGGAGGAAGGGCATTCCAGGCAGGCCAAACCATGTGTGCGAATGCCAGATGCTGCAGAGGGACGCTCCTGCAGGGGCTGGAGACAAATCTCATCTGAGGGGTCTGGTATGAGGTGAGGCTGGAAACACAGGGACCAGACCCTCTGAGGCCTTGAACACCACACCGAGGGGCCTGGACTTGGGAGCCTGGCAAAAATTAATTTTCTAGCTTCGACTTAATTTTATGCATGGAAGGGCTCTGAGCAGAGGATGGCCAGCGTCAGACAGGGAGTTAGAGAAAATCTCCCTGGTCATGATGGATGGGAGGGCCCAGGCAGAAAGGCTGAGGCCAGGGCTCTGGGGAAGCCAGTGATATTTAGGACGCAACATTGGACTTGGTGATTGATTGGATGTGGTAGTGTTGGGGACAGGAGGGAGGGGAGGAGACAAGGGGAAGGTAATTCATTAGAATTTGAATTCCTCCTGGACAGGGTGCATGTGGGCCTCTTCTCTCTACAACCAGCACCCAGCACCAGACTGGACCTCTGCAAATGTGTTGAAAGGGTGAATGACTTTGGCCCTTCTTTTTTGCTCCTGCGCTGCCCTTCAGAGTGGGGACGGGAGAGGCAGAGGATGGACCCCTAAACTCTACAGCCTCTGTCCATTCTCCTCTCTCCTTTGCCTTAATTGCCTTCTCTGAATAAAAGGAACAGATAATAATAATAATAATGACTAGTCCCTCTTTTTGTCCAGCACTTTAGCATTAAGGGAGGGTATTCACATCCGTTCCATTTCAGGGCTGCAGCACCGAGTCTGCAGAAGGGGAGCGTCTTGCCCTGCTGGTCCGAGGCAGAGCCAGGTCAAGGACGGGAAGGCCCATTGATCATTTTTGAGCCCGGATTCATTTTACCTTCGCCCCCTTCCTGCAGCCCCGGGGGCCCCGCGTGGTCGCGGTTACTAATGCATCGCCCTTTCACAGGTGATAAATCGAAAGCCGTGACTGTGCAGTGGAAAGAGCCAGCCGCGTCTGACTCCGACAGCTGGGTGGCTGGCCTTGGGCAAATTGCTCACCTCTTGGAGCCTCAGTTTCCCAGTCTGTCTCTGTGCTGCAAAGACGCGGATGCCTGGCCCTGATGGCAATTCTCATGACTGGCCAGAGAGGGGAAGTGTCCTCTCAAGGTTAGTCATGGGGGGAGGGGGTTGGAATCCAGCCCCCCTGACTTCCAGGCCCGCGGGCTGTCTGTCCACTGACCCAAAAAACCTTGGACAAGCAAGAAGGGGGCTTGGCTGGACCAGAGGGACCCTAAGCCTCTGAAGCCCGAGGCAGACCTCCTTCCACACCCCTCCTGGCCTGTCCCCAGGGAGGGAGCAAAGATTCATTAGTTATAGCACCAGCTGGCAGGCAGCCGTGAGAAGGACAAGGATGGGAGGACCAGCTGCCCGGAGACTCCCTGCCGAGGAACTGGGCCAGGCGGGAAGGAGGAGAGGGCGGGCGGGAGGGAGGAGGGAGATGGCAGGCAAAGTCCGTGACTGAAACGTCTGGCACAGTCGGAGGCCCTTCCCCCCAGCCCTTCCCCACCCCCTTCTCCCTCACCACCCGCCCCTCCTTCTGAAGCATCGGAAGCCAAGCCCGTGCATCCTTCTGACTCGCTCTCCAGCTGGGTGACGTCCTTGGGCAAGTCGCTCAACCTCTGTGAGCCTCAGTTTCCCCTTGGGTCCAACAGGTGTAATGATGCTCACGCCATAGGGTCGTGGTGAGGAGCCGAAGAGCGAGGCCAGCGAGGGACTTGGAACTGGGATGTGGAATGCGTTTTTCACCTCTTCCTTTGGGTGAGAACGACGATGGACACGAGTCCCCACCACCCTATGGCCCCCAAACCCATCCTTCTCTCCTCGATCACAAGTTGGTCCCAATAATAATCGCTATCGAAGGAAAGATGGCTACTTGCCAGGCGCACACTAATCAGTTTAGGGGCCTTGACTTCATTTTCACACACAGTCTTTCCTGGTGAGCGGGAAGGACTATACATAGGAGGGTGTGGAGGTTCAGACAAATCAAGTCACTTGCTCAAGGTCACACAGACCTGGGGTCACCGGGGAAGTTATCAAATAAAACGGGGCACTTTTTTTTTTTTTGTTTTGTTTTTTTTGTTTTTTGTTTTTTTTTTTTTTTTTTTTGCGGTACGCGGGCCTCTCACCGTTGTGGCCTCTCCCGTTGCAGAGCACAGGCTCCGGACGCGCAGGCCCAGCGGCCATGGCTCACGGGCTCAACCGCTCCGCGGCACGTGGGATCCTCCCGGACCGGGGCACGAACCCGCATCCCCTGCATCGGCAGGCGGACTCTCAACCACTGCGCCACCAGGGAAGCCCAAACGGGGCCCTTTTGAGAATCAAAGGAGGTGCTGCTGCTAATTATGCCAGGACCAACCCAGGCAAGCAGGGCAGGATGTCGCTCTACATGGAGACCATGTGGTCGAACCAGGATTCTCGGTCAGGCCGGATCGATCCTTCTGGAATAGGACCCTGCATTCAACCCCGGGCATCCCACCTACTCTCCTGACCCCGATCAAATCTCATCATCTCCCTGGGCCTCGGTTCCCAACTCTGTCAGAGGAGTGCCGTGGAGGCTGCACAGCGTAAAGCCCACAGTCACAGCTTTAACTCCTCAAGCGCTGAGGGCCAGAGAGGAGCAGTGATCGGCTCAAGGTCACACAGCAAAGTCGGGGGCTGAATGAGGATCTGACCCCAGGTGTCTTGACTCTTCGTGAATGTGGTGATGATGAAACGAATGCAGGTAAATCCCTTGCTTGGCACTGTGCCTGGCCATAGTGACCACCTACCCTCTGGCATCTTAGGTCTACATTACATATTCTTATTCTCTTCCTACCTCTGTGCAGCTTTCCCCCCAGAGGCCCCAGCCCCTGCTCCTCTCCTGGTCCCTTGTCTGAGAGGTGGAAATGAATGGGCTCTGGCATCTCACAGACCCCAGTCTGATTCCCTGCCTCTTACTGTGTGACCTTAGCCAACGCTGTCCAATGGAACCTTCCACCATGATGGAAATGTTCTAGATCCTTACTGTCCAATATGAGAGCCGCCAGGCTGAAATGTGGCCACTGTGACTGAGGAATGATTTCTTTCTTTCTTTTTTTTTTGGACGTACCATGCAGCTTGTGGGATCTTAGTTTCTCCACCAGGGATCAAACCCGGGCCGCCTGCAGTGGAAGTGCGGAATCCTAACCACTGGACTGCCAGGGAATTCCCTGAATATTTTATTTTATTTAGTTTAGGTTAGAATAGCCACATGTGGCTTGTGGTTACCAAATCGGACAGCACAGCCTTAAAAAAATTATTTAACTTTCTCTGATCCTCAGTTTTCTTCTCTCAAAAATGGGGCTCCACAGCACCCCCTTTGCAGGGTTGTTTCTTCCCATGAGAGTTAATAAGTGCTCAGAATAGCTCAGGGCCTACAGTAAAGGGTGACTTCCGTTATGAGCTCCCTTTGGCTTCATTTTCCCCATCTAACCCCTTCTTCCCCCCCCCCCACTCTCTCTGCACTGGGTCTGGGAGGTGAGACACCTGCTTCCTGTCACCCACGGGGCAGGTGGGCTACAGGAGGGCCTCACCCCTGCCAAGCTCCGTGCGATCGTCTTTGGCCTCTTGAGAAACTGCACGGCTTCACTGTTGGCCAGGTCCTGGAGGCTTTCTGGGATGTGCATGCCTGCTGTTCTGCTGCCCAGGCCCTGGGAGGCCGGAGCAGTAATGCTGGGCGCTGCCTGCTGGGCACTACCGTCCAGAGGCTCTAGGCCCACCCCGGGGCTCAGCTGCTGCAAGACAAGAGGGATGGAGGGGGGATGGTTAGAGTCCAAGGTGCGGGGTAAAGGGGCTGCCAGGGGTCCCAGGAGTAGGGGGCAGGGGATGGGAGGGTCCTTGTAGTCCCAGGATAGGGTTATATAGGGTGAGGGTTCTTAGGAGTCGGTGCATGGGTGAAGGAGATGCTGGGGTAGGGGTCCTAGAGATCGGGGCACAGGATGAGAGGGTCCCATGAATTGGGGTGCCGGGGGAGGGGGCTTCTGAGAATTCCAGAGGTAGGGGCACAGGGTGAGGGAGCTGCTGGGGTCCCAGGAGTCAGGAATGCAGGCTGAGGAGGGCCCCAGAGGTGGAGGTGCAGAGTGGGGAGATGCCTGCCAGGCTAGGGAGGAGAGGGGAGAAGGCAGGATACTGGGGTGATGCCCTGACACAGGAGCCAGAGGGCCCATTTTAAGGACTATGTTAATGGGATTTTCGAGGAACTAGGGGTGCTGGAATGGTGAACAGAACCCCGGGGAGGTCTGAAACAGGGGGATCCCTTTCAGGCTTTGGGGTGACAGCACCCGTAGTGTAGACCCCAAGCAGCTCAGGGTAGATTTTAGGCTGTCCTCGTGATTGTGGGTGATTGCCTCAGAATCAGGGCCTCCCCTTAGAGTTCAGGTCCATCTTCATAAAAGTGCATTTCCTCAAGTCGGGGGTCTGGACCTCAGATGTGTAGGGAACATGGGCTCGGAACTCAGCTGCCCCCTCAGAATGAGGAGGCCGTGCCCCCGGCACTAAGCTACCTTCAGAGAATCGGGGTCTTCCCTTTAAGGACGTGGAATGGGGGTGGTGACACTTGGGGGTGATGCTGCCTGACAAAGGGTCACCCCTACTCTGGAGGCCGGGTCAACGTCACCTTGAGGACCGCTCTTCCTTCCGCCCACCTTCCCCTCCTGGTCCTGGCACCACCTCAGCCTTCTTTTGGTTCCTCTTTTTCCCGCCTTTTCGCTCCTTCTCTGCTGGAGCTGATTGGCTGAGCCAAAGCCCCGCCCCCTCTCTTTCCCCGCCTACTCTGGAGCTGACAGGAGCAGGGGCGTGGCCTCAGCGGACGTTGGGCCGCCCGCCGTTGGCAGGCTGCGCGCGGAAGCCCTGCACGGTCCCGGAAGTCCCGGGAGTCTGGCGCCCGCCCCGCCCCTTTCCCTTTGAAGCTCTTGGACAAGGAGATACTTCTGCAGCGCATGCGCCGAGTCCAAGGAAAGCGAGTTGTGGAGCGAGGCAGGCAGATTGCGCGTGCGCAGTCGACACAGGGCGTTAGAAGAAGGAAATGGACCTCTCTCAATGACCTAGGCATTGCGCATGCGTCTTACTGCGGACTGAAGCCGAACCTCGAAGGACCAGGACGCTTTTCTGCACATGCGCAGGAGGCTCAATGACAGTTGAACGTTGGCTAAGGTGAGGGAAAGGGTGAAGGATTGCCTAGCCGGGGGTGGGCGGCCCTGCACCCCTATGTAGCCTTCCGAGCATATCCTATGCGCTTAAGATCCACCTGCCGCCTAGACCCCGCAGAGACTAGTTGTGCCACCACAGGGCTTCTGGGACCGCAATACGCTCCAGGACTTGAAGACCTCTGACCCCTGCCTAGGACTCAGGCCAACTGAGCACTGTGGGAGGGGACGCACAGCAAGGGCCTACGAGGCGGGCGGATGGGCTCTGCGCCCTTCCTGGGGTAGAAACGGCCCCTGGAAGTTGGGACACGGAGGTGGAGAGGGCGCCTTTACCCCCAGATGACCATTGACTTATGCCCATTTCCCTCGTTTAGGCTGCGGGGAAAGGGTCTGGCCATGCTGCATGTGACCCGAGGGTTCTGGGGATCCAGGGTCCGAGTATGGCCCCTGTTGCCCGCGCTCCTCGACCACCCCCGGGCCCTGTCATCGCTGGCGGCCAAGATGGGGGAGTACCGCAAGATGTGGAACCTCACGGAACCCCGCAACTGGTCCCAGCAGTACCGCGAGCGGTTCATCCCGTTCTCCAAAGAGCAGCTGCTCCGCCTCCTGATAAAGGTACAGCCCGCCCCGTGTCCAAGAGCCTTGGAACTACGAATCCCGGCAGGCCTCGCGGCGGTACAGCCCTTCATGCTATAGAGGGCTGCCTTGGAGCCCCCTGGGAGTTGTAGTTCCTATTCCCTTTATAGGCCCAGGTGGGCGTGGAGTGAGTTGGAACGCAGGGGACTGACCTTTGAGATGCAGATAGGTGCCGCAGCAGTTCTGGACTCCAGCTTGTTCTGGGGGCTGGAACAAGCACTCACTGGGGCATGGTTTTTCCCTCTACAAAATGGGTATAATAATCATCCTCATCATTACTATTACTACTGTCTAATAATAATTATTATACCCACGAAGCTATAATTATAATGATATCACACAGAGCTCTTATTATATGGCACTGTGCTAAACATTTCCCACATATTATTGAATTATTGAACAACCCAATAAGAGAGGTACCACCATCATTCTCATTTTACAAATGAGGTAACTGAATCAGGAAAAGGTCAGTGACTCACCCAAGGTTATGACTAGTGGCCCAGATCTGACTCCACAGCAGGGCGGGGACAAGGGTGAGGCAAGTAGGCACTTGCTCGACCCTAACAGCTTACCCCACTATTGCCATCATACTTGTGCTTATTCTGTATTATCATTCATTCATTTAATAATTATTGATTAAACACCTGTATGGACTAAGTCCTGTGCTGGGCTTTATCCATACACAAAAGTATATGTACACACACATAAACACACGTGTATATATACGGACACACATAATCACATCACATTCTCACCATTGCTTTTTTGAGAAAGAGGGTATGATCCTCTGTTGCCGATAAGGAAACAGGCTCAGAGAAGTGATGACATTCACCCCGGGCACCGAGATAGGAAGCATAAAAAAGTGGTTACGTATGTGTGCTCTGGAGTCAGATAGGCCTGGATTGTAGTCTCAGCTTTTCTTTATACATACAGTGTAGCCCTCAGCAAGTGACTTCTCTGAATCTAAGTGTCCCCTCTGAATAATGAGGGTTATAATTCCATCAACCTCCTTGCATCCTCTAGAGGATGATATCATGCCAGCAAACAGCGCCTGGCACACAAATAAGGAGTGACTCCTGGCCAGTAAGTGTCAAAGCGGGAACCTGAACGTCTAGCTCTTCAAGTCATCTGTTTTTCACTCTCTGGAGCTACCTCAGTTACTTGGCCAGTGAAATTGATCAACCCTTGTCCCTTCTAAAACACGCCCAAATTTTAAAGAGCCCAGCGCTCTGATTGTCTGTCTGGGTTGCTCAGGAAAGAATTCCTCCCCATGAGGAAGTAGGGAGAGGCCTAAAGAGAAGTTTTGCTTCCCGAGGTAACAGGAGTTCCATTCCAGTCCTGCGGAGAAGGCGGCTTTGGAGGAGTTCGTGGCCCACGTGAACTTTTGCACCTTGTTCCACTACCATCACATCCTGGCCCAGCTGCAGGTGAGGACAGGGCCCCTCTGGCCCTGTCATCCTTGTTTGCTTATCCATTCATTAAGCAAAAATTCTCTGAGGGCTTACTTGGAGCCTGGCCCTGTTCTAAGCACTGGCAATGCAGCAGTAAGCAGAAGAGATGAAGCCATGCCCTTGTGGAAGTGACATTCCAGTTGGGGAGATGATAAATCAATAATTGCAAAATATGATACCCAGGAGTTGTAAGTGCTATTGAAGGTGGAATAGAAAGGGACGAGAAGGGCACCTGTTTTAGACAGGGTGGTCAAGGAAGCCTTCTCTGGGGAGGTGACAGGTGAGTTAAGACCTGAGTGAAGCGATGCAGCGAGCCTCATGGGTGTCTGGGGAAGGACATTCCAGGCAGAGTGAAAAGCAAGTGCAAAGGCCCTGAGGTGAGAGAGGGCCTGGAGTGTTGGGGGAATGGCAATGGGACCACTGGCTGGAGGGAGAGAGAGCAAGAGGTGAGAGCAGAGAAGGAGTGAGGGAAAATTGTGCCTGGCCTTGTGGGCCATGCAGAGGACTTGGCTTTTATGCTAAGTGAGCTGGGAGCCGCCGCAGGTGGGCTCTGAGCAGAGGAGGGTCATGAGCTGATTTGGGTGTCAACAGGATCCTTCTGGCTGCCATGTAGGGAAAAGATGGTCAGAGGCAGGGAGATCTATTAAAGAGTCTATTATGTTTGTCCAAGTGAGAGATAATGGCAGCTCCCACAAGGGTAATAGCAGTGGAAGTGGTGAAAAGTGGTCAGACGTTGCTAATGGTCCGAAGGCATCAGCATTCAGCTGTGTGGGTGGGGCCTTGAGAGAGAGAGGAGTCAAGGGGGCCTCCAGCGGTTCAGGTCTGCTCCTCCTGAAGGATGCAGCTGCCACTTACTGAGACGTGGAAGACAGAGTCGGGGGCAGGAGACAGGTCTGTGGGGAAGATTGAGAGCTCAGTTTTGGACTCAGAAATTTGAGCTGCCTATTGGACAGCCCGGTAGAGAGAGGGACTTGAATGCCCACAGGCTGGAGGTCAAGGGAAGGGGCTGGGCTAAGAAATAACCCTGGAAGTATCTAGATGGTACTGCATGCAACCACCAGGGGGGATTAGTCCTGAGGAGTGAGTGCCAGTCCGGAGGTCGGGAAGGGGAACTGGAAGCAGTGAGGGGGCTGGACAAGGAGAAGTCAGAGAGAAGCTGAACTCCAGGAAACGGTGGAAGCCAAATTCTCAGCATCCTCCTCCTGCTCTAGGATCTTGTGTTGGGCATCTCCAGGACCACCCTCAGATTCACTGATTTTCACGAGGGGCTCACAGAGCTCAGTAAAGCTGTTATGCTCCCAGTACTAGTTTATTACAGCAAAAGGAGAACAGACAAAATCACAAAGGAAAAAGGCAAGGAGACGGGGTCCGGGAGAGACCAGGTGAGAGCTTCCGGTTGTCCTCTCCCAGCAGAGTCACAGGAACAGTGCTTCATTCTCTCATCAGTGGTGCATGACAACACGCAGGGTAACACCCACCAGGGAAGCTCACCTGAGCCTTGGTGTCCAGGGTTTTTAATGGTGGTTGGTCAGGCAGGCGTGGCTGACTGCCTACGTGGCTGATCTTAGTTACTTAGTCTCCGGCCCCTCCAGAGGTCACACTGCTACTTCATGTCCCCACCATGAATCACATTGTTAGCACAGACTATCAGGTGTGGCCCAAGCCCCTGGTAAACCAAGATACTCCCATGAGGCAGGATAGTCCAAGGGCTTAGAGGTTCCCTCCCAGGAGCCCACCAGTTCTTTGGAATGTGCAGGGTTTGGACAACCCAGGCCTGCCGAGTTAACCCTTTACCACTCCTGCCCCCCTATAGCTCTCCTCTTTGCTTCGATGAGGGGCAACATTGGCCCCACTGTGTCAGGCTCATCAACTCCTTCCTGCAGAACCGAGGAGCAGCTGCCATCAGCCCCATTCGCAGAAGCAGAAACTGAAGCTCCAAGAGGGCCCAGATGTGCCCAAGATCATACAGGTCCCAAGCGGCAGAGCTCGGATTTGCACCCCTGTCTCCTGGCCTCCAAGCTCTTCTTCGGGGCACTTTTTCAAAAAGTTATTTAAAAATATATCATTATATAAACATTTAAATATATTGAAACAGAAAGAATATACAGGGAAGACAGACATTCTCACTGAGGCAGCAGATTTTAAATGGAGACACTGAGAGGGTTGGGTAGAAGCACCAAAGGTGAGTGAGACACACTGGGTGACCATTTGCTGGTGACCTAAGTCCGTTGAGGAACCAGGCAAAGAACAAGAAGAGCCCAGTTCAGGCGCCAGCTTTGTCGTTCACTAGGCGTGCGGGTGACCTTGGTAGGTGACCTCTCTCTGCTCCTCCTTTCTCCTACGCATTTATTCATTGAATTCACTCACTAGATATTTACTGAGCACCTACTGTGTCCCCCGAATGGTTCCAGCCCCCAGGACACAGCGGTGAGCCTGAGATGTGTGTATCTGCCTCATGGCGTCATGTTCTAGTGAGGGAGACAGACCCTTGAC